CCGTGCCATGCTCCGCCGTGCCGTGCTCTGCCGTTGCTCTGCCGTGCTGTGCTCTGCCGTGCTCCGCCGTGCCGTGCTCTGCCGTTGCTCTGCCGTTGCTCTGCCGTGCCGTGCTCCGCTGTGCCGTGCTATGACCTCATCTTAGCTAATGGATCCCATCTGCAGAGACCTCGTTCCAAGAAAGGTCATATCCTGAGGTCCTGGGAAGGCCCCGAACTGGGGGGCTCGGACTTGCTTCTTCGACTCTGACTAACGAACTCCTCACCGGATGTGGGCCGTGAACTGTCTAATTCTGGTCATGAGACACTGTCTCGCCGAGTTTTCTGTGGGGTGAAGACAGGGAGGCTGCTTCGGAGAGCCAGCTCGGGCTGACGTCGGCCCCAGGGGATGAGGTGCTGGCTTTGGCTGGAGGGCTGGGAGAGCCGGTCAGTGGCAGAGGAGGAGCCACACTGCTCTGCGGGTGGCTGGGGTGCCCTGCTGTGGTGGTGGCCCTGGGCGACGGAAGGGGCTTTCCGCTCCGAGGATGGGTGTGCCCTCATGTTCTTTGCTAAGGAGCAGCTCTCCCCAGGCGCGGCTGGGAGGCGTGGCGCTCGCCAAGCCGTGCTGGCCCGCGAGAGCGCGCCCGCCTCTGCCCCTGGAGGTGCTGGTTCCGTTTGTTTTTCTAGGCCAGTCACTATCAGGGCAAGTCTGTAATCTCGGGGACAGACTGCTGGCACGGAGCTTTCTGCTTCACGTTCTCCTGGACTCGAGAGCGGCTCGTGGCGACGGCGTCTCCATTCCTCTGTGCCTGATAAGCTCTGCCACCCACCGGGACGGAGCCCACAGGCTCTGGCCGTGCTTGCCGTGTGCCGGCCCCGCTGCGGAACTCGTTACTGGAGAGCGCAAGTCTGTCTGACGGTTGAGCTGCCAGCGTCAGTAGCGGGAGTTCTGGAAAGTGGAAAGGCAGTTACCGCAACCAGGAGACTGCCTCTCTCCAGCGAACTGGGGGGTTGCCAGACAGTGTGCTTGGCAGGGAGGCAGGAGCAGGCTGCCTTTCTGGGCCTGCTAGGCAGGCACAGCTGAGCTACTCCTGAGAGGCCTTCCTGGAGGTGGTGTGGTGCCCACGGCAGACTCCGGAAGACTGAGTGGCATGCTCTGCAGCACAGGTGAAGCGCAGCTCCTAGTAGCAAGAGGCCCGGCAGCTCTGGCGCCGTGTCCTGGAACCGTCCTCTGTCCACAGCCGCCAGTGTGCTGCCAGACCGAGACGCGGCAGCAGTGGGCCCACGCGCGGGGCCAGTGCACTCGCCCGACCCCATCTTCCTCGCCGAGGTTCGGCGCTGATGGGGACCGCATGACAAGCCTCTGCTGCCCAGGGTGAGCCCTGGGAAGCCTGGGTCTTGAGACTTCTCAGTCCTGACCAGCAGTGTGACCTGGGCAGGGCATTTCTTTGGCTTTTGCCTAAATGAAGTGAGGGCAGTGACAGCCTTGTTCTTCAAGGTCTTTCCAGTACGCGGTGAGCAGCATCGAGAGCGGGTGCCTCGGCCACGCTTCCATGCCTGCGCAGTTGCCGGCAGTCCTCAGCGCTCCGTTTGTAGTGCGGTTGCTCACACTTCCGGTAGGTCAGAGCGCGCTTGCGGAGCCAGAGAAGCAGGGACCTCAGGAGCAGGCGGAGGCTGCGTTCATCACTGTGCCACTGCGGGTTCGGCAGGCCCCTTTCCAAACCCTCGCCTCTGGCAGCGGGGAGAGGTTGTCGCCGCGGGCTCACAGGTAGTTTCCTCGGCAGCCAACTGGTGGCATTTGCCACGCAGCAGGGAGCCGGCGTTGCTGTCAGGTGTTGTGGACCACGCCGCCTTGCGGGAATTCGAGTGGGTGTGTACTGCTACACGAACACACATCTTGGCTAAATACGTAAAGGCCACGTTTTCAACTGGCGAGTTGAATTTAAAGGTTAATGTTTTCTGGCTTCTTGCTTTGATACACCGTGCGTATCACGTGTCTGTTTATTTCTGCTACTAACAAGGCCTCATCCACCCACAGTACAGCACACCTTTCCTGGGCGTGCAGGTGTGAGGAGGGCAGGAGGGTCGGCGTCCGGATGTCGCGCTTCGTCGGGGAATGCTCTTCTCTGGTCTTGGGCGCCGCGTTGCAGGTGGGCCGCTGCAGGTGGGCCAACACAGTGGTCGGCTCTCCGGTAACTGTTTACCTGGAGCGGGATGTGTGTGTGTGTGTGTTAATGAGGTGAGCGAGTGAGGCCTCCACAGGGTCCTGCCATGTCCAGGCCTCCAGCCGAGCCTCCTTGTGGCAAGGCACAGAA